AATATAACAAAGAGTGAAAAATTTAAGGGGGTCTGAATACTTTCCGTACCCACTGTATATATATATATATATATGAAGAATCACACGACAAGGATATCTTAAGAAATACCCCGGAGGGTGGATTTTTTAGTGAGGTGGGTGCTAGGGAGAAAGGTCCAGGTCAGGGGAGAGATAGGGGGTGGGTGGGGAGTGACCCCTGACAGACCTGAGAAAGCTGCCCAGATCCGAGAGCGGCCGTCCACGTTGGCGTTCGCAGCTCCAGCCCGATGACGCACCACAGTTCTATCACCCCCAACTTCAGCATCTGTTGTATTTCCTCCTCAATGGCTCGCCGACGAGCCTCAGGGACGCGGTAGGGCCGTTGCCTGATGACGACTCCTGGTAACGTCCGGATGTCGTGCTGCAGGACGCTGGTCTGCCCGGGAAGAGCGGAGAACACATCCGAGAACTGACCGACCAGGTGCTGCAACTCTCTCTTCTGGGCAGCCGAGAGGTGGGGATTGACGTCAACAACCACGGGATCAGAGATGGCGAGGGCCGCGAGCTGGTCTCTAGTCCCAACCCACTTCTTCAGAAGGTTGATGTGGTAGAGCTGCTCGGCTCTCCTCCTTCCTGGCTGACGCACACGGTACGTCACCGGCCCAACCTTCTCCAGCACCGTCTAGGGACCCTGCCAGGTGGCCAGGAATTTGCAGGCCGCGTTGGGGACTAGGACCATGACTCAGTCTCCGGGCTGGAACTCACGGGAGTTGGGCTGCCCGGTTGTAGTGGCGCTGTTGAGCCTGCTGCGCTTTAGTTAAGTGTTCCCGGACTAATGGCATGACCCGGTCGATCCTTTCCCTCATCTGTTTTACGTGCTCGATTACAGAGCGATGGGCTGCCGGCTGTTGCTCCCAGGCTTCCTTCGCCACATCCAGGAGGCCGCGGGGTTGCCGGCCAAAGAGGAGCTCGAAGGGGGTGAAGCCAGTTGAGGCCTGAGGAACTTTGCGGATCCCAAAGAGGACGTAGGGGATCATAAGGTCCCAGTCGCGTTTGTCCTCCGC